GATTCAGTGCCATAGGTTGCCTGGGACTAATAATACCCTAGCAATATGGTTTCTCATCAGAAGCCCTGAGTTGGGACTTTTTGAAGAAATACATGTGAGCACTGGACCCAGCAACACCACCTAACTAAACCGTTTCTTGCAATTAAATGTTATTTCCCATAATGATTCTGTCCACTAAAGCAGCAGTCCAATGAAGAGAAGACAGCAAAATAAAGGTAACAGAACAATAATACCATGCATCCATGGAACCAAACTCTCTTTTGAAACCCCGTTCATGTTTGCATATGCAGTTAGTTAGTAATAGTCTTCCTGTGCTACAAAGAGTAACACAAAGCCCACAAATAGCAAAACAAAAACATCCATAAAATCAGGGAAGGTAGAAGGACAAATAGGAGAGCTAATCATATCCTCCTTCTGGCCCACCTGAAAGAACTGTAGTCCAGCATAAATCTTTCTTTAAAAACTGCAGCAAAGCAAAGGGAGAAATGGCTCAACATGCATATGATCTGATACATGCTAAGGTACAGTTAGAATAAGTTGCAGCAATTACAGAAAGAGTTGACATCGGGTTATTGCTATGAATATGCAGAATTCCCATACCACTAGCTTGCAGCGCAAATTGTCAGTGCCCTTACGGTAAAAGCCTGCCAGGAGCACATGGGGTGCTGAATCTAATAGTTAAATAGCCAGTATGTGTTTCAAAAGTACACTGGTTGCTTGGACTTCTTTTTGTTTTTCTTAGCAACTTCAGCACTTCCTTTTATGCACTCCACCCTCATCATCCTTACTCTTCGCATCATAGTTAAGCTCAGGAATGCAGTTTTATTTGCTTGATTAGCCCTGCTTGTCATTTGGAGTAAGATTTTCTTCTATAATTAGTAACTTGAAATAGTGCTGAAGATGAGCCTCCTGTCTTCTCTGTGAATTGCCAATGGCAACACTAGCTAAGTGTTTTGAGCAGAGCTTAGAAACGTTTCTTTTCTTGAATACAGCTCTTCCTCTGCCAACATAATCAGTGGGGAGCTGGAAGGTATCGGCCAGAAAAAATGTGTTTTGAAGTGGGAAGGGGATATTTAGCAGCTGTAATGCAACAACAACAGTAATAGTGATGATGGTATCAATAACAACAGCATCTTCTGCTGCTTTCTCAAGCTGTGTTGGTCTTCTCTGATGTTTTCAAGGAGGAGTGTTCCCCAGGATTAGATTAGTCTTGGGAATTTGTTCTTGAATGGTATGTAGTAGCCTGTAATCCCACATACAATTAGCAAACAGTACAGTGGAGGCAAGTTGGATGATGTGATCTGTACTTGTCTTTGAATGTACCTTCAAGTCACCTATCAACATATGGTGACCCTATAATTTGTTAGTGTTTTCTATCCAATATTAACCAGGGTTCACCCTACTTAGCTTCCAAGACCAGGCAGGGGCTGCTGCCTTTAGGGTATTTAGGACTTTTCCATCTGCCTTTACAAAGTGCCAAAAAACACAGTTAGACTATATGAGACTGTGAAAGTGGCTGCTTTTTTACTTTATAGTGGCAGTGAACAGAAATGTACTAATGAGAGACAGGTGTCAATGAATGACATTGGGGCCATGGATGTGACGTGGACACTCAAGGATGCATGGATAAAGATTGTTATCCACAGCTTTTCTAAACTTGGTCCTTATGTCAGTGAGAGACTGCTTGGCATTCATTTTTCAGCTGTCAGTTTATGTCAGTTAGATAAGATGCCTGCCTACCTAACTCTCTTTGGGAACTTCCTCTCTCCTTCCAACAGTGCATCTTAATTGCCCTTGCAAAACAGTGGGTATTTTGTCCCCAGAGTTGGCAGTTTCGCTTCACTGAAAATATGACTGATGTTCTGCCTGGGTATTAGAAAACTAGTTTAAAAAATTGAGCTTTCTTGAATTATATGTGAAGAGGTCAGTTCTTGTGCAGAGATAGATGCCGGTAGCTCTTCCAGGCCTGCCTTGCATAAAGAATATATACTTAAAGTATAAAGAGATAGAAAGCATTTGGCTGAACCTGTCTGCAGAGCTGAATAAAGTTTTTGAAAAACCCGGACGCCAGCCTCAATAAGAGTGTCAAGGACCTACAGCACAGAACATAGCGCTTTGCAGAAAGTCATTACTACTCTGCAACAGCTGCCCAGGCTTTTCTCCACAAGAAGATGGGGATTTTGTGTGTGTGTTTCCTGAGTCCTTCGGAGAACAGGGAATATATCCCAATGACCTCCATTCCGCCTTTGTTGCTCACTCTCTGCCAGCCGTGGCACGAGATAGCGATTAGCTGTCTTCATGGCCCCGTAATAACCATGTCTGAAATGTTCTGCATGATTAACCTATTAGATACAGTACAGCTCCCAGCATTCTCAAACTCTGTTCCTGTGTGTTTTGTAGTATCCAGAAAAGAAGTTGATGAGAAGGAAAGAAAAGTAGCAGTGCAAATCCCGGAAAAATATTCTTTCATCACTTCTGTTCTGTAGTACTGGCTCCTGCATTTGTACCCATAATGTAGTACAGAAGTGATGGAAGAAAAGTCTCCCAGGATGAGTGGGGCGTGCTTTCTTAGTTTGCAACAAGTTCTTACATCCCTTGTTTTTGTGCTATGAAGCAATGTGTGAGTCAGTTGTTTCAGCAGATGCAACTGAAAGTGTATAAGAAGAACTGAATAAAGTAAGGCAGCAGAAACTTTGGCCTTCATAATCATTTACTATTGGCTATCCTGGCTGTGATTTCTGCAAATTGAAATATCTGGAGAGACAAAGATTTCCTGTCCCTTGGTTAGGATAAGATCAGGAAGGAGTATTTGAGAGTCTAGATTTGAGATAACTATAATAATGTCTGTCTGTCTGTCTGTCTGTCTGTCTAGCTAGCTAGCTAGCTAGATGAATGTGCTGCATAAACATCTCTGTTTATTTCAGCCAAACTCACAATAAGGGATGATCCAGGAAACTAATTAGTGCAAACATCTTAATGCTTGGGCTCCTGGGGAGCAACAAGCCTCTAGATCAGCCTTTCTCAATCTTTTTATCCTTGAGGAGTCCTTGAAATAATTGTCTGGTTCCAAAGAACGTTTGCTTAAAAAATGTTATATCTACAACTCAAAAAGCGTTTCCCCCAATCACAATCTCTCATTAAAGCCCTGGCAACTCTAGAGCTTTAGGAAACCCAATTAAGAAAGTCTGCTCTTAATTCCCCTGTACCATCATTTTAGTAAGGCAAGTTTGAAAGCTAACTTGTAGTAAAGCATGCATCTTTTACAAATGCTCATTGAAATTGAATATGGATGATATGATATAGGAATGGTATGATAAGAGGATTTTACATATATTCTTTTGATGTAGGGTTCCACATTAAGATAGAAGCACTAAGAAAATAGCCAGCAATAGATAGGATAACTTGAAGATCTCTCATATACAGGGTTGCCATAAGGTGAAGTCAGCTAGAAAGCATTTAATAACAAGAAATAATGATAAATCTTACAAGACAAGATAAGAAAACTTGACCACAACAACTTTAAAACTAGACTCTTGTTAAAAAAAATAGATTGGCAAATTTTAACTTAAGCAACAACTACATCCCTCAAAAAAAGTAAACATCTCACCACCCACTTAGCAGAACGTGGGAGAAGCTTTCTGTCCTGTCTGTCTTCTTAGTTCTCCATTTATAACGTTATTGCCCTTTCTCATTTTACATGTATGCACAGCACTTTCCATTTCCTTGTTAATCAACATTGTTAACTTTATTTAGATCCTGCCTTTTTTCAAAAAAGGGGGGAGGAGGGCTCAAAGATGGCTACAAATTAAAACACCGTTGAAATATTTAACGTACATAGCTAAAACATACACAAGATTAATATTATTAAAATGCAATTGAGCCATCAATATTGTTAAAAACAATTTGCAATATATAATTAAGATCAGTTTTTAAAAGAACATTTTTAAAAAATGGTATCGCATTCTGTTAAAAGCCCTTGGTTAAAAAAATTCACTTCTTCAAAATTTGTCATGTTTGTTTGCCAGAGAAAGGGCAACGAAAAGAAGAGGACATTGAAAAGTTTTGAGACAGCCACCAAAAAGGCTGTGCCTCCATCTCTAACAGAGATGCCTGTGATGGCAGCGGGATTGAGCGAAAGACCATTCCTAAGGCTCTCATGGCCCACCCAGGCTCATATAGTGAGAAATGGTCTTTCAGATAGTTGACACCTAAATCTTGTAGAATGATACACAGATATTTGAATTGTGATTGTAAACTCAGTGTTAGGTAGTAGAGCTATTGTAGCAAGGGAATCATACTTCCCTTTCTTGTCCTTGTCCCTCTCTTGCAGATATATCCACATTCTCCTCTGTTTGCATTCATCTGTCTCTCTCTCTTCTTTCTTTTCTTTCCTTCTATTCTTTCTTTCCTTCTTTTCTTTCTTTCTTTCTTTCATATCATTCTATGAATGACATGTTCTGTTAATGTTAGATGCATATATTAGTGCTCAAGACGTCTACCCTGTTTTGTCTGAATGGTCCTTTTGTAAGGTCTAAGGAAGACCTGAGACTTGATGTCACTTTTCTAAGTATGTGTGTATTGCATATAGAAGAAAAAGAATAACCAAAATGATGTACCTGCAAATCTGCCACACCAACTGAAATGAATGGCATATAGGGGAATGTGGGAAATTGGATCTCCCTGTTTGAAACTGGCAATTTGATCTGAACACTTCAAAGTAAGATTCAAATAAAAATTCAGGAAGCTGTAGGTGCTCATCTCCATGCTGCTTTGTGATAGTATAGAGTAGGGAGGAGGCCTCTGTTCAGGCCTCCTCCTCCAGAAATTTATTTTAAAAATATTTTTGCTTCCTTCTTTTGAGTTGGAAAATTATGTAATGTAAGATTCTGCAAACAAAACCTGAAGACTATCAATAGAGAAATATGGACATGGTTGTCATTCATATTTTTGTGATTCATCTTCTCTTTATCCTTTTCTTCTCCCAACCAACTCCTTTACAGTCATGGACCCACAACATCCAACGGGAAAAGGAGTTCCTACGGAAACTGGTGAAAGCCCGAGTAATCACAGACCTCACTAGTGGAATCTAAGGAGGCACGGCCACTTTGCTGAAGGACACAGCCCCATGCAGACAGCTGAGGACAAGGGCAACAAGAGGTCTTTGGCAAGAGGCCCAGCTTCTTAGAGACACACAGAGTGCCCTTAGAAAGTCTCCCTGGCTTGCTCTATCTGCCTGTATCAAAGCTGGCAAGGGAGCAGTGGCTATTGGCCTGAGGGTCAGATCCTTCAAATGAAATTGGAGGTGGACATGATGTTTGAGATGGAACCTCGTTGAGGAGAACAAAAAAAAGTTGGGAAAACTAAACAAACATGTGCCAAATGGAGCAAGAGCCACGCCAGAGCAGCAGCATCTTGAATGTATAAGATGCATTATTTTATATAAAGAGAGATTGAGAATCACAGAAAATATATCAATGTGCAAAATGTGGCCTAGCCTGTGCACAGGCCTCATGGGACACCTGACACTGTGTTGCACTTAGCCTGTCTCTGTGCCAGCCGAGCCCCTTGGAGGGGACTGGGTCCGTCCAAGACTTGTCCGTTGGTGCTGCTATAATTTAAAGGTATTGTGGCCTCTCTTTGCCCTAGAAGGAGCAACCAAGGAGCCTACTGGATCTTTCAACTCTGTTTCTGGTGAAGCAGCTGCTGCTGCCAATGTTCACCTAACAGAATTTTTAGTCTTTATTCATGAAGCTCACCTCATTGAGTTGGGGAATCTCTACCTGTTTGACAGGTTTGCTGCAGTTCCTGCTGAGAGATACCCCAATATTTTTTTCCTGTGGCATCCACATAATGGGTTTGAAGAGTCCAAGTGATTGTTTTTTGTTTGGGAAGGGAATAATTTATTTTTGGATCAGGTAAGAAACAAAGATTTGTCAATGTTCGGCAGCTAATGGTGCCAGCAATGTTTCAGTCATTCTGTTGTACTCTGGCCTAAGTGTCTATTATCTTGATAATGTTTAAGCTCCTTTGGGGACAATAGTAGAAATCACTGAGCTGACATCCAATTTTGGTTTTTGGCTTCTGTATATCAGGTGTTTTGTTTTGTTCACATTTTCAAATTTTTCTGTATCCCTTGTAAGGAGACAAGAGTGTGTTTATTACTCCTCTGTATTAAGTCTCTGATGCAGTTTTTGCACAATTGTGTAACATTTGTTTTCGAAAGTTTAGAAATAGGGCCGTTCTACACTGCCATATAATCCAGAATATCAAGGCAGATAATCCATATGATCTGCTTTGAATTGGATTATCTGAGTCTACACTGCCATACAATCCAGTTCAAAGCAGATAATCTGGATTGTATACAGCTGTGTAGAAGTGGCCATACATTGTGCAAAGTGACCAAACAGTGGAGTGAATGGGATGACTCTATGGATCTGTCCACCTAAGAAGTATTTTTTGATTCAGTTATTAATTTGTCCTATTGTAAGATAGTGCATTTATAATTCGCATTGATATTAACCTAAATGGTACATATGAATGAATTAAGTAGCATTTGCTTAGTTGGAGCAAGAATTTGGACAATTTCCCTCATGCAAAGCTAATGAATATGTATCCTGTTTGTACCAAGGATGCCAGCCTGCATTTTACCTGCTCCCCTCCGCCAGCTGAGTTAGAATGCTGTTTAAAAGGACTCCGGTAATCTGTCGCACAAGGAGCAGAAATGGTACTCAGAAATGTAATATCATAGTGCCACTGGTTAATGGTGTAACAATGCTTAGCTATATTTCCATTCACCCTCTGTAGGTTACCATCCCAATCTGTGAGGGAAATGCTGGCATTTTCCCTTTCCCCTGAACCAAGCGTCATAATCTGACATATTCTGTATAAGAGGTGAGCTGAGTCTTGCAGTGCTTCACAAGTTTTCAGGTTTCCTTGTGTGTATCAAAATCAAAGGTGGATCCTTATGAGGGAGAATAGCTATTTTCCCTCAGTTCTTGTGGGTTTTTTCGGGCTATATGGCCATGTTCTAGAGGCATTTCTCCTGACGTTTCGCCTGCATCTATGGCAAGCATCCTCAGAGGTGAGGTCTGCTGGAGCTGGGAAAAAAGGGGTTTATATATCTGTGGAATGACCAGGGTGAGACAAAAGGCTTTTGTAAGTTGGGCTAAGTGTGAATCTTTTCAACTGACCACCTTGATTAGCATACAATGGGCTGACTGTGCCTGGAGCAAACTCTTCTTGAAAGGTGATTAGCACAGTCAGCCCATTGTATGCTAATCAAGGTGGTCAGTTGAAAGATCCACACCCAGCCCAACTTACAAAAGCCTTTTGTCTCACCCTGGTCATTCCACAGATATATAAACCCCTTTTTTCCCAGCTCCAGCAGACCTCTGAGGATGCTTGCCATAGATGCAGGCAAAACGTCAGGAGAAATGCCTCTAGAACATGGCCATATAGCCCGAAAAAACCCACAAGAACTGAGTGATTCCGGCCATGAAAGCCTTCGACAATACAATAGCTATTTTGCTCATGATCATGATAGACACTACCATATAAAATCCATGATAGTACACTACCATATAAAATCCAGATTATGTGATTTGAATTGGATTATATGGCATGTAGATTCATATAATCCAGTTCAAAGCAGATAATGTAGATTATCGGCCTTGATAATCTGGATTATATGGCAGTGTAGAGGAGGCCTTAGTCTTCAAAAAGCCTATCCAATGAAGAATAATTTGGTATAGTATAAATGCTGAGCTTATAACTGGCCTTTCTTTACACATTGCATAATTTATGGAATTTGCTGTCACAAAATGTGGCAATGTCTGCTAGAGAACAGATGGCTACATGGAGATTAGATACATTTAAGGGGAATAAGGCATTCGAATACAAATTTTTGATCTCAATATTTGGGAAGCAACACCAGGATTCAGCTATTTACTTTATTGCTCTGCTTGATCATTCCTTGTAGGTATCTGCTTAGTTACCAGGGAAAGCAGAGTGCCTCACTTGATGTACCTTTCATCTGATCCAGCAAGGACTCTTCTTATGTGCTTCAGGCTACAGATTTGGCCTCATGGATTTGTTCCTGTCCTATATTCATTCAGTGTGTCAGTCAAAGATAGAATTTCTGACTTGGCCTCCAGGGGGCAAGCATGACAATAGCAAGTGGTTGGTTTCAAAAGTGTATATTGGAAGTAATGTGCTGTTTCTCCAGATGCCTGTGTAAAATTGATGGTATCACCTGGATAAGTATATGTATATATCTGCATTGACATTTTATATGTTTATGCAGAAGGGATGTGTTCTGTGATAAGAGCACAGGTCTTATTAGTTCATCTGATCATCCACTAGAATATTATATGGCTTCTGTATTATAGAAGGATCATATTAGTGGTTTAGCAACTCCCAGTGAGTTACAGGTTGTTGCTGGACAGACAGGAGGGCTTATAAAGAAAGATAAGCAGATAAATCTCTAGATGGAAGCAAAGTGACACAAGCCAACTGCTAGTAGGAGGAACTATCCCTAATGTGTGTAGAGGGATGCTGCAAAAAAGACACACTTAAATGTGCCTGTCAAGCTCATCCAGGGCCATTCCACACAGCCCTATATACCAGAATATCAAGGCAGAAAATCCCACAATATCTGCTTTGAACTGGGTTATCTGAGTCCATACTCAGGGCCTTTCCACACAGGCCTATATCCCAGAATATCAAGGCAGAAAATCCCACAATATCTGCTTTGAACTGGGTTATCTGAGTCCATACTCAGGGCCCTTCCACACAGCCCTATATCCCAGAATATCAAGGCAGAAAATCCCACAATATCTGCTTTGAATTGGGTTATCTGAGTCCACACTGCCATATATTCCATTTCAAAGCAGAAAATATGGGATTTTATTCAGCTGTGTAGAATGGCCCCCAGTTTATTCAAGGCACCCTATGCTAGGTTAGCCAAATGCAAAAGAGGATTGGTTTCCTCCATTTTTAATAGCTATGTAGAGGAAGGATTTCTGCCTTGTGTGATCAAGCAAGATATCCCTGCTGAAATTCTTTGTTCTTCATAGTTGTTAACAAATACAGGAACCCTATCCTCTAGTCTTTGTTGTACATCTTAACTCCTTTCAAACTGCACTCTATGTGGAATGGACAGATAGTGTGATTTACAGGAAAGAAGCCCATGGCCAGGCCAAAAACAATGTCCCTTTCCTTCCAAGACAATCCCATTGTACATTGATGCTGCCTCTCCCCACATTGGTACAAAATAACGTCCTGAATATGTTGGTACTAAATAGTGTTTGTGGACAAGGATGTTGGATTAACATTTAAATAAGAGAGTAATGGATGAGATTCTAGATCAGCTGCCTCATTTGGAACATTGTTAAGGACACTTAAGTAAGTACAGTCTTCTGGTGCAACTCACCGAACCCTTGTCTTTCTGGCCAGCAGCCACTGCAAGCAACACCAGCCTGTTCTTTTGCTGATTTGGATTCTATAGACCAATGTTTCTATCCTTTCTCCTGCCAGCAATCTCCAGTGTGACAATCAGAAGCAAGGTGTCAGTCATAATTGCTCTCTTTTCTGCCAGTTTATGTGGCAGAATCTCTGTGATCTTAATGTATTTGGAACTCAGCTGTCTTTCAGTGCATGCCTTTTCCAGTCCATTAGTCACGCACCTTACTCGGGCATTAGGAAAAGACAGGTATTTATTAAGAAATGTTGCTCTCCAGAGTATCCCATCCTCTGCTAAGGTGCTTTCTCTAGCAGAGAAGAAAAACAATCATTGCTCATTTTCAAACGTTAATTCCATTGTCTAACTGCAAAAGGTAAAACTGGGTGTGCTGAGACTAGGACATAGTCACCACCTTTCGCTTCCCAAAAGAGGCAGGGCTTCCTGCTGGTATGCCAATTAAGCCTTCTGCCTCAGGGTTAGAGGGAGACCAATCAATTTTACTTAATTATGCATTACAAATTATGTGAAACTGACTATTATTACTCTAAATTGAGTAGTGCTATCTCTCTGATAAAGAAATCTTGGTGATTATAATCATACGACTATTAATTAGTTGATCATATTTGCATATAAATAAGTTCTGATGCAAAAAATATTTATTTTGGTTTCTGGTGCCCATCTGTGATTTTTCAAAAAGACATACTTTCTTGTTTGATAAAGGAGAGTATTAAGATACTTGGAATTTTCAGTTTGTGTAAGTGCTAGTGTTTAGGAAACACTTAAAAATATTTTGCTGAATTCATTGCATCACCTTTTTAGTTACTCAAACATTGTATTATTAGTCTAGACCAGGGGTCCTCAAACTAAGGCCTGTGGGCCAGATCATTTACCCGGTCCTTGCTCAGGGTCAACCTAAGTCTGAAACAACTTGAAGGCACACAACAACAACAATCCTATCTCATCATCCAAAAGCAGGCCCACACTTTCCATTGAAATACTAATAAGTTTATATTTGTTAAAATTGTTCTTCATTTTAATAATTGTATTGTTTTTAAAGTGTTTTTTGCTCTACAAAGAAGATATGTGCAGTGTGCATAGGAATTCATTCATGTTTTATTCAAATTATAATCTGGCCCTCCCAACAGTTTGAAGGACTGTGACCTGGCCCTCTGTTTAAAAAGTTTGTGGACCCCTGGTCTAGACCTAGTGATTCCCAAACTCTAATCCTTCAGGTGTATTGAACATCAACCCCTAGAAGCCTCAGCTGCCTTGTCCAATGATCACGGATTCTGAGGGCTGAAGTCCAAAACATCTGGAAGACCCAAATATGGGAATCACAATCCCGTGTACAATCCTATACAGATGGGAATCTGGAATGCAGAAACAGGAGTTTGCCCAGGACAACCCAGTTGTACATTGGGATGGTGAAGGTACTGCAGAAGCAATAAACATGTGTTTATTGTGTTCCTGCTATTCCTTCCCTTCTCCTTTCCTGGAAGACCTTTGGAGTCTGTTGTGGCTTCCTCTAGAGCAGTGGCTTCCAACCTTTGGTCCTCCAGGTGTTTTGGACTTCAACTCCCAGAAATCTCAGCCATTTTACCAGCTGTTAGGAATTGTAAAAGCTTAAGTCCAAAACACCTGGAAAACCAAAAGTTGGAAACTAGTGCTCTAGAAATCACTGCTGTAATATCGAGTGGGATCTCAACACAGTTGCCTTCAAGCACTTTCTGCAGAAATTCTGTGAACCCAGACATTGGCCACAATCCTGTTGGTGCCTTACTCTGGTGTAAATATCGTTGCTTGAGCAATTGTGCTTTTAAGTATGCTGCGCAAAGGCAGTATCTTAATTGGGGTTGCCTAAGCATTGTTATTATGGTGTAACCATTGTACTATCAGTTGCATAACAGTGCAATTCAATAACTTCAACATAGTGACACTGACGTA